AGGAGGCATATCATTAACGTCTCAACATGCTTATTACACTGCTCCTTCATCTGGCTTCATCAAAAACCAGATGGAACACTTGGGTTTTTTATAAGAACGGAGAAAGTGTGGTGAAAATATAGAGAGTTGCTTTTTTTTTGATGCCAAGTTTGATGATGGACTTGATAAGGGCAGTGGTCATAGTAGTCCCGGATGCAGTGTTGCTGTTAGCATGACTACTAGCAATATAGTACAGTATCTGCTATTCTCTGCCATTAAGATGAGTCTTAGGCTGTCTTTTGTATATACAAAAATCAGACACAAATAAGCTAAACTAAATTTGGGAACATGGTACATATCATGCCTGCATGGTCTGTCCACGACCTGCATGTTAGCATGCTAATACAAATGTTTAGCTAAAAGCACCGTTGTGGCCAAATTTTGATTAAAATGTATTTTTGTTATTGATTTTAATTAGAATTTTGTGTATTGTTTTATATTTTTCTGCTATGGTGTTTCTAACCATGTGTTAAAAAGTGCTTTACGAATTAAATTTAGCATTATTTATTGTGCATGCTGATATAGCAGAAAGCACCACTAGCATGGCTTTTGACCCTTACTCCTTTTACCACTAATATACTGTATCATCGTGGAAATGGTTTGGTATAATTATCATAAACACATGTGACAACCAATATAATGGGGTTAGGCAGTTCTATGTGCTAGTGGTCCTGAAACGCTAACTTTGTGTCTTTTAATTAATGGTTGTGTCATTTTAGTTTTGCCCTGTTTGCTATCCTCTCTCTATGCCTGTTTTTCCTCCCCAATGGTACCAGGTTGTTGCATAGCTGGAGTTTTGATTTATAATGTTGAAGGCTCCTTGTTTTACAATATAAGTGCCTTGATATATGAAAGTGAACTGAAATTAATAAAAAGAAATCTGTATTTTCACATATATAGATGTAGCCTCGCCAGATGGTGAATTCAAACCCAGGACCTTCTTGCTGTGAAAACTGAAACAGGACCATCACACTGGATTTATGTGCTTTTAGCTGATCCCTGTGACACCGCTAAGCCTTCCACCACTTAAAACTACAACAACCTTCATTTAAGCACTATGGAGCAACAAAGCAAAACAAATTAGAGGACAAAGGAATTCTAGGAATGTGTCATTATGGTCTTTTCTAAGTGCTGAAGCGCAGGGAAAAATAAGGGTTTAGACAGAGGGAGGACGCACAACACCTTTCTTTGCAGAGGATGAAAAAGCTGCGAAACAAGGTTTGCTCCAACAGTTCAGGTTACATGCCTCTCTATCTCTCTCTCCCATGTTTCTCATCGTTGTTTTTAATCCCATGGCTGAATCACAGCAAACGCTATCTCATATTTCTGATACGGTTCGGATACATACAAAAGTCATCAGTGGCATGACCATCCTTCAGAAGGTTCTGATTCACACAGATCACAAGCTGTATTATCCAAGCTGCATACTGAGTACATGACTCAAACATTTAGGCAAGCAGCACACCAAAGCAAACACACCTTAAACCTGTTTAATGTTACCTGGATGAACTCCTGTAAACATTCAGTTGAAATAAAAAGAAAAAAAAGACATAACAATTTTAAAGTCATGGAAAACTAATGAGAGCACTAACTTTATGCTATCAAATCCAGTGGTTAAATTAGCCCCTAAGTGTGATAAATGCTGTATTTCTAATCCTGTTCTATTAAGTGAAAACTGAAAACTATGACCAGAGATATCTGTATATGTTTTTACATTTTTACACTTTACATCTTTATTCAGATATAAACAGATGTTATGCAGAAGTTAATGATTGGCAATGTAATTTTAAAAAGCTACATTACACAAGTAAGACCCATTCTAATCACAGTTAGTCATAGCTGTGCTGTGACACACCGTACAGTTATCATGCCAGCCATCATCAGCCTGACAGCAGACTTTGGATGATGTTGTCAGAACCAGCTCTAGTGATGAAACTCCAAACCCAATTTAACTCAGACTCAACAGGCCTTCAGATTAGCCACGGCAGCTGAGGTTTAAAATAGCTCGGTCCTGAGCTTTGCAGCAGTCTGTGGAAAGCACCGCATCTGGGGTCATGTTAGTTGTTAATGTGCAATTCTGGTGACTGAGATGTAACTTAGTTGACTGACTGGCACGCGGCGGCTAACGTTTAAAAGCAGCATGTGTCTCCCCCTGCAGGTCACAATGCAGTCATTTGGCTGAAAATGTACACATTAACAAAAGTACCTGAAAATGTTTCAGATAAATCAGATAAATAAAAGTTAAATAACACAAGATAGTGTAAATGGAACTATTTAAATTCTTGGCAATCATATAAAAAATGTAACTGAGTGTAAATCAAAAAAACAGATTTTTTTTAAGTACTAATCGGCTGAAATTATTTTTAGGAATTAAAAAAGAAAAACAGTCAGTATCACATGTGGTATTTCCATCTGCTAAATCACCCTCAACACTTTTTTGAAAATGTGGAGAAAAGAAAAAAGGGAACTTGAGAGACGCTTCTATGACAACATCCACAAATATACAGCACTGAGTCTTACTCATGGGTGTGTTTTTAGGCAGAGACAGAGGGGTTTCCCATAACTGACTATTTGACGAAAGGAAAACGCCACCCTCGCCTCACATGACACTTTGGTCCTCCACTGGCTGAAGGTAGTGAAATATTCTGACCACTAGATGGCACCAGAGTACAACCACACCCAACTGCTTTACACTACATTCAGTCATCCATTCATTCACACACTGGTGATGGCAAGCTACATTGTAGCCACAGCTGCCCTGGGGCACACTGACGGAGGTGAGGCTGCCGGACACTGGCGCCACCAGGCCCTCTGACCAACACCAGTAGGGAACGGGTGAAGTGTCTTGCCCAAGGACACAACGACCGAGACTGTCGGAGCCGGGGCTCGAACCGGCAACCGATTACAAGACGAACTGCCAACTCTTGAGCCACGATCGCCCATAGAGGGATGGACATGGTCAGCAACAATACTCAGCTAGGCTGTGGTGTTTAAATGATGCTAAAATTTGCTCTAACTGTGCCAAGGAAATACACCAGTACACCACCAGTATGATCCTGAGCTGCTGAAACAAGGCAGGATGGATCCAGGCTTTTGCATCGTTTCTGCCAAATTCTTACCCTAACATCCAAATGTGACATTAGAAATTGAGGCTCCGTTAGCTGAAGGAGAGGCAGCTGGTGTGGTCTTCTGCTGCTGTGGCCCATCTTCAGGGTTCGACATATTCTGTGTTCAGAAATCTTACTGCATATCATAACCTTGGTAATGAGAGGTTATTTGAGTCACTGCTCCGTCCCTATTAGCTTGACGCAGTCTGGCCATTCTACTCTGGCATCAACACGGCATTTTTGGTCAGAGAACCACTGCTCACTGGATATTTTCTTTTTTTCAGCCTTCTCTCTGTAAATGCCACTAGATCAGCAGTTTCTAAAATACTCAGATACATTAAAACTCAGAAGCATGCCACATTGAAATCACTTAAATCACCTTTATTCCACATTGACATACTCAGAACTTCAGAGGGTTGTTTTGACCATTTCTACATTTCAGTTTCTGGCATATGATGAGCCACATGTACCTGAGAAAGTTTCCAGTGAGTGCAATCCAGAGAAAAGAATGAAATAAATCAGAGGTGCCAGAGAAATCTCTGAAGTCCAGAAAACAATATTGCAGCCCTATTCAAAACAGACACTTTAAATTCGTGCAAACAAATTACTCCATGGATTCAGGAACACTTCAGAAAACTATCATCACTGAATAAAGTTCATAACTGAATCCACAAATTAAACTTAGAAGTCTATCTCACAAAGAAAATACACGTATAAACAAGATTCATACATGTCGTCTCTGGGCTGCAATAAGGTAAAATGAGGGAAACCATAGACTTCCCAGGGTTATCCAGGTTATTATTAATGTATAGATAGGAACCCAGCATCAATCATGGTGTCAGGATTCAACAGTGCACATTTGCGACATCTGCAAAAGAACCATTAATGCTTAACAATATAGGTTATGGAGCAATTCGAGCTGCCATCCAGACAAAATCTTTCATTTCAGCAAGATAATGCAAAGCTACACTACGACAGCATGTGTTTGTAGCACAACAGTCCTCATGCTCCAATGGCCTGAGCACTCCCATATGGAAAAGAAATAGTAAAAACATATATGATTTGCTCATGAAAGTGGCCACTTTCATGAGCAAATCATATATAAATCATATAAGGCTTACATGATTTACTCATGAAAGTGGCCACTTTCTCATTACTTTCATATATTTTTTTAGTAAGTATACAAAACATACAAGTTTCATTATATAATTTTTCAAGGGATCTTATATCTGTTTTCACTCTTGTATGCTTTTCATACAAGTTTCATACAAGACAGATAAAAACTTTATAAGATTTATATATATCTTTTCCATATGGGCTGTCCTGACATGTTACCCATCAAAAACATTTGACACATAATGAAATGAGGCTTCAAACTTTTGAAAAGCTAAAATCCAATCAAGTAAGATAAGGACGTTACGCCAGAGGAATGAGATAAGGTCAAGATCACATTACACAGCAACAACAAAACACTTTTAGAAGATAAGAGAACAGGTTGCACGAGTTGCACGAGCATTTCCAAGTGTTATAATAGAAGTGATGGTGGGAAGTATTAATTGTATTGTTTTATGGCAGATGCATATGTCAATGCAAAGAGTCTGTAATTAGATCCGTTTCAAGTCATACAACTATGTTCATAATTGCCATTTTTGAAATATCTCCTAATTCATCTGGACTTGAAATTTTTATGTGAAAGTAATTCCATAAACTATAAATGTAGTTTACCCCCAACCTTCCGTCAGTCTCTCTGAGCAGGACTGTCTTGTACCACCCATGTAACATTCAACACAATGAAAAACACAACACACCAAACTCCTCCCTACCGTGTCCTATAAATCGAGTCTCACCACTCACCTGCACAACACATCTTGCTGTACAGGTATCTGGTTCGTTCTCCATGCGAGCTCATCTCATGCAGATAATTCCCTCGCTCAAAGTTCCACATCCCAGCCATGCTGATGCGAATGGAAGTGTACACAGGTAGCCTTTTGTGTTTCAGGTAAACTGTGCCAGCTGGTGTAAAGAGTGGAAACAGGAATGACTTTCAAACAGAAAGTCGTTTCTTTGAGGGGGGCAGGGCCCAGCCCAGTGCTGGGCTCTTTTAAGGACAAACACAATAGACAGCAGACTGGTAGCTCAACATAATTTTCATAGTTTAATTATGACGTCCTTTGACTTATTAGTCATTTGGTTGAGCATATCTGCTCCATGAGAACCATGACAAATGTAAAACTGGAAGCAAAAGCGCTTTGTTGCCCTACAGCCATCCATTTATCAGACTGTCACTCGTCTAGAGTCAGTTTACAGTTTGTACAAGCATTTAAAACAGAGGTGTTTGTGCACCTGCAGGCACGTCGGTTTGTGAGACTATTATGAGGCTTCACTGCATCTTTAATGCTAATCCAAGATAGCAGACTAGACTTCTGTCGTGTTATGATTAGTATTTAGTCCAACTGCTTTAACCTGAAACTTTCGTCTCTCACTGCTTTTTTCACCTTGCAAAAGCTGAGTTTCAATAGCCTGCATCTTGCCAGAATACAATGTATTTATTCAGATTAGTCCCCAGTGCTGTCTGAAAATCTTCAAGCTTAACAAATCCTAAGGCACATAATCCTGAAAGTAAATACAGTGAATATGCCCCTACCCATTACCGGTTTACTTTAGGATCTGGATATTTAGGACGGGGCAAAGCGCAGTAAAATGTTGAAGGGAAAGTGCAGATCACTGATCTCTGACCCAGGACTACCTGTCTGCCAGGATCTTATCACACTGGATGCTGATACGGATACTTTCACTTGACCTCCTTGATTTTATTTTACAGGAAACTTTAATGTTTTGACATCAAATAAAAAGATAACGATAATGTTGACAGGGACATTAAGACCTTCACACTGACAGCTAGCATTTGCAGTGCCACACTGGATTCTTGGACTCTACTAAATTAGCATTATATGACTCACTGTACAAAATAACACTTGTTGACTTAATTCTGGGCCTATGAATTAATATATCATCTAAAACAAGCTGTTTTAGCTCCCTTCACTGTCCCTTCATCCACTTTTCTTTGAGAAAAAAAAAAAAAGATTTGTATAGCATGTGGGTGACGCTTCTGTGCTATATGACAAAAAAAAGCATAATTAATCTGCCTTAAGGAGGGGGTCAGATCATAGAATCGTATTTGTTTCTATGATCCCTGTGCTGCTCATAAATAAATCAGCTCTATACGAGCTCCATCTGACTGTGTGTCTCATCACAGCTTGTTCATTATTCCCAGAGGACATGAGAGCTGTATCCAAACCGGCTTCCATAAGCCCCTAAGGAAAAAGTGTACTGTTTAATTTATGACTCATGCCCACTGGTTTACCAGCACCAACCACAATGGTGGAGGCCATTTAGACTTTTTTTTTTTTATACACTCACGAGCCCTGGAAAAAACAGACACATACAAACCCACACACACTGCTGTACTGTATTGTAAGTAGTAATTGGATTGCTCCAGAATAAAACTCCTGCCTGTTTCCAGGAAGAATGCTGGCTTTTCCATGAACCAAGCCAAAGCCATAACCAGAAGTCAACCATCACAGCCCACACAGCTATGAGAGGGCCCCACATGTAGCTCTAAACGAGCATGTGCTTGGCGATTGAATGTCATCCATGCGCTTAGCGTGTCAAACTGGATGTTACACTTCACAGCGTTCTGTAAAAACTCTGACACCTTCTGGGCGACTGCAGAAGAGTGCTGGAGCAAGAGCTTTCCATAGCTACAGCAGCTACATGTTACGCCTGAAAATTCTCAACCGATCATTTATGCAAAGCAGTTTAAGCAAATCAACAGTCTGGTTCCAAAACAGCCATCAGCCAATGTAAATGGTGCGACAGATCTGGGTTCTGTTGCACCATAAAATATATTCATCCTGATTTTGATTGTCTGTGTAAGGGCAGACAAACAGAGATGAAAGGTCAAAGCTCAGGAGGAGAATGCAGAGTGAGGCACCTTGTGTGTGACTCACAGCATTTTTCCCCCCGTCCCCACCCTTCTCACGATCTTTCTCCATACTGGTCATCGATGGAGTAAAATGCCAGCATCAGCGTTTCCATATCTGCACATGCAGCCTATCACGGTCAATAGCGTAAGACCAGAAGCTAAATCACAAGTGGTCAGACCGTGTGGTGTCTGCTCTCACTCCTGTATAAGTGATAGCTCGAGCCATTGAGCTAGTGAGTAGATAGAGGACAGAGCTGTCATCATGCAGAATGGGTGCCAGTGAAAAATAGGACAGCTAAGAAAAAAAAAAGCCCCCTGATGGGTCTAGACCGAAGGGGACAGATCAGCAGGAAGAGCAGCTGCATTAATGCTTCAGTATCAAAGACAATAAAACCTTATCCAAAAGGACATCATAGAGTAAATGTCAGGGCACATAACACGAAACTACAGCCAAAGCAACTGGGCATCAAATATTCGTCTTCGTGTCCTTAGAGTAGTGAGTCAACTTTGAAGAATATTACATTTTGCGTAGTGTTGTGTAGGTCAATGCATTCTTTAGTGTTGCCTAATGCCATTTTAGCCATGGGAAATGAAGTTAACGTTTGCTTTACGCCCTGCATGAAAGCATCTCGGCCAGCTTTCTTTTTCGAGTTGTCTCACAACAAACGCTTTCCTTTTACTCCTATCTTAGACTGATAACATTAACACTTCCCATGAGCAAGAGCAAGATACCACGCTCTCTAACTTTAAACTTTATCATGATAACAACAATGAGCCATGGCAGCTAAACTACAGACACTTTGGAAATCAATCAGGACTACTAGTGACACCTTAGACATCTTAGAAATCTGGGTTTCGAACAGGGTTTGGACTGATCAATAACCAGACTTGCACAAGCATGTCTTAAAATTTAAGCAATTTTGGGGTATCGTGTCAACAACGACTCGTGTAAAGGCATTGGATCAAACAAGATATTATTTAGTGTAGGACTGTATTATCTGTTAGCTGTTCTGTGCACACAAAAGCTACATTTATCCAGGATAAACCAAAGAAAAAGTCATCAAAGTGTTGACTCATGGATGCAGCATCTCTTTTGTAACACTGCTAGGGTTTCAAAAGCTACCGGCTGGTTTGGAAATTGGCAGTGCCTCAAACCAAGCAGGTGTACTGAACCACTACCGGACTTTTTAAAGAAATACAGGAACAACCTTCAGCAAGAACACACATCCACACACAAAAACAGACAGAGACATATTGATCTGAAAGCAAACATGGCCCAACAGGTTTGGGAGGGGCCTTACCAGCAACTGAATTACCAAAACACTGCTCAGCTACAATACCGTGCAGCAAATAAGCTTCTGTGGAAGTTCAGCTAGGTGGAGAAAGGGCCAGTACGCATCTATGTTGTGTGACCGGTCAGACCTACGTGTCTCAAGAACCTGCAACAGGCTTCTCATGCTGTCTGGGAAATATGGCGGTGTAAAACTGGCACATTATGGCCTGGTGGCACCTTTGACCTGTTACAACTGACAAATTTTCAAGGTTCCACATGACCTATACAGACAGTAAACATGCTAAATGTGAAGCTGCGCAGAAGAGAGTTTTAGGGTTAGTAATGTGACCTCTTCAGATCAGTATCACCAATGCAACAGAAAATATCTCTAGTAATCTCTTGTCAGACACAGAGAGGAAGAGATGAGGCAAATATATTTTCTGATATCTAGCTGCTTTACCCTGAAACTTTAGTATCTCACTGCTTTTTTGTGTAAACTTTGAAAGAGCTTCAATACCTTACATCCTGCCACAGTTATGGTTACTAAATGCCCCAAAATGAGCAGCCAGGGAAGAGCGAGTCATGGGTGGCTTTCCAGCATTAGTCTGGACAGAGATAACGTAAAGGGTGTGAAGAAACAAGCCTCGTGACAGGTGGGCCTTCATTAGGAGGGGGAGGGATGGCAGAGGCGTGGCAGGGACATTTGAAACTGCAGGGTCTCTCTGCCCCCCCCCCAAAAAAAGATGTTTTCAGAACTTAAAATCACCTCAGTGATTATAATCATTATATCATCAGGATTTTTTTTGTTTATTAGGGAAAAGGATTTTGTTATGATTACAGCATCCTTCAAAAGTTTTATGACTTAAAAAAGACTGAAACAGCACATGATGACAATTCAATGTTTTGTTGTATGGCAGGACCTAAAAAAAAACAACTCAACAGGTGACATGGTGATATAAACAGTAGTACAAATCCAGGACTTTAGCTGCCACCTGCTGACATTTCTTAACAAAATGCGTTGGTATTGTGCTGGATGCCAACAGGTGTCCATGAATATGGAGACTTTGGAACAGGTGGACTTGTTTAAACACTCAAAAAAGGCAGAAGTTATCTTTTTAATTTTGTGGATTTCTTTCAAAATGTAATTCTAATTTAACTGAAGAGGATTTAGAGAATTATTGCAAAACAAAACAAGCAATGCTAAATGGGTGGATGAAAAAAATGTAAATTAAATGAATTACACAGAGCTAGTTTTACAGCAATGTGAAATAGCCAGGAGAGACCCACAACTATCTGACACACACAAGGGCACATTTAAACACGCTGTATGAGCCGCTGCTGATTGTTGACTTCCATCAGATGTCACAAGAGGTAATAGCAGGGGTGGGGGTACTGCAACCCCCCTCCTCCCAAATTCTCACCCTCACCCTCCTTCACTTACATACCATCAAATAAATGAAAATACAGAAGGCAGCCAAGATTTTCCTCACAACAGCTCAGTCACACTGTGAACAACTATGAAAGACAATCCATGCCGCGGTAGCTGTTTGTGATGGGAATGTGTGTGCCTATGTCCTGTTAGAGTGAGTGTGTACGCACAACAACAAGACATTACCCACTGCCTTTGCCAAAATCCCAACAACAGTCATCAGCCAGGAAGACAAGCACAGTTAGACACAAAGACACAACACAGAAACTTCAATTGTGTGACCTACCAGGTATGATCTTCATCTAAAAGAAGGTACGTGGAAAGAAGAGGAGGACAAGGGTGAAGAAAAAAACAACAAGCTGGACAGAGGGAGAATGAGGAGGACAAGAGAGGCGCGTGCTTGTTTGCCCCGACTGCCTTGTTTCTCCCTGGTCTTGAATTTTGACAGGCTGTGCCTGCTGCTTGAATCCGTCAGCCTGCTCTCCTTTGGCCAGGGGAGGAGGGATGACACACCAAGCCTGGGGAAGGGGGCAGGGGTGAGGGGTTCTGAGGGCTGCCAGGGGGGAGAAAGAGGGCTGGAGCTGACTGGGGGTTATAAATATCCACTAGAGCCAGATGATCACACAGTGCTCACACTTAGAAACTGATGGAAGCGTTCTGGCGGGACACTTGGCTGTTCTCGTCCTTTAGAGACACCCACCACAAGCAAGCCCTTCCATCCCCCCTCCCCTCCCTCTCTTTCTCTCTCTTTCTCTCTCTCTTCGAGGATGATGGTGGGAACTGTTGAGGTCACACCTCTCACCCAGAAAACACATCACATGTCAGAGCTCTCTTAGGCTTAACATAATCAAATCATTTGAGTAGTAAGTAAAGTACTCATCCCAATTAAACCACAGGAAAGTGTGACACGCTGATACAACCGAATACAAGCTGAATTTAAACACACAGAAATACTGCGGCCAGAAAGTCTGGCAGTAGATGATTAAACTGGATCTTATTCAGTAAAACACAGTTTAGTGATGGATGCTCTAGAGAGCAAGGCTGGTGACCTCAGTGTTCATCCCCTTATTGCTGCGGGATCATATCAATGCACAATATTCTCTAAATATAGTAAGTTCTAATATATGCATTTGGCTTGGGCAATTGTAGTGCTGACGACTGGCTCCACTTCTCTACACTGCTAAAAGCAAACCTGTCTGGAGAGCAGAGTGAGGACTGCTTTCTGTTGTGAAATGCTGACATTATGTATGGATGTTCTGTAGTGAAATGAAAGCAGCTGTACTGAGAAACCATTGAGCAGAATTAGACAGGATTGCAGGAAATCCTTCATCAACAACTTTATGCGCAGCAATCCCAAACTCCTGAACTCAACAGGCTTTCTACACACACATGAATCATGTCAGGACACATGGCTGAAAGGTATTCTAAGCTTATGTCCCTGGGGAAAATACCAGTAGCCTTACTCTTCAACCACACTGTGTAGTGCAGATATTCATTCTTGTAAACAAGAATGCTCCTCCTCTACTCACTAAGCTGGTGAGAAAATACTGGATAAAATTAGGGTTTTATGAACTTTAAAATGAAGGCCAAACTCGCATCCCTCTCACTCAACTGTAGTCACATTAGTTTGGTCTTCTAATAAGGTCTAACATGCACCCTGGGAAATGACTAACGTCATAACCAGTTTGGCCAAACCCTCAATATATTCCACATGTTATCAATCCTGTTTCCAAAGTTTGGCCTATTGTGAGTTAACCATTACACTGCCACAAGAGATCCTCGATCCTGCATCACTCTCCAGCTCCTGCTATAGCATACCATTTAATCTGATATCAAGCACTCTGCGCACGTAAATGCGGCAATTCAAAGTAGCAATTTGAACGCACAAACAGCTGCTGGAATGGGATTCTGTTTCACTTTTCAAATAGGCCTCATAAATATTCACCTTTTGTGACTCCTGTTCTATATTTGTGCCATCATTTTTCCAAAAATTTGCACTTAAGCCAAGAAGAAATCATCTCAGGTTTCATTTCAACATCCCTTAATTATCAAAATGTCTGTTTGGTCTGCAGGTGTCATAAATTTTGAAGTGTACTCCAATATTTTCTGAGACTCCAAACTAAATATCAGAAGGGGTTTCACAGGCGGAGTCAGCAGTTAGAGACATGCAACAGCTAAGGTCATTTACTTTGTTTTGAGCAAAACAGCACCGTGGGCCAAGCGGCAAAAGCGGCAGCAGGAGATTAAGTTGCCAGTTTGCAACACAGTCTGCTGACAGACGCCAAGAGTTTGTCTCTCACTTTTTCCCTACTTTTTTTTTTCCTCTTTCAACAGAGAGGTCACGCACATGAATCAACTCCAAAATTTGCAAATCGCCCGGGGTGAGTCACGACATTAAAATGAAGTGGCACCATAATGAGAGACACAGAGCTGAAGTTCACTGTAGCTGTTCATTTATCCGATCACACAAGTATGCACTGGGCACCATTTCAAAGATGAAAACATGGAAGACCCTCAGCGGCACGTCTGTGATGTGATTTACTCAAATTGTGCCTGGTGCCATGTCCGCGCCGAGTTTAAACAGTGTGTACAGTCCACACGAAAGTGCTTACTACTCAGATTTAGTTTAAGTGCATCCGGAAGGCCACATTTGATGAAAACTGTTACTCTGAAATTCAAACCAGCTTATAGTCGCTGCTTTGAAAGCAACATTTTTGTGGCATAAGTCACATTTCATTCAGTACGTTCCTCCTTCCTAGTTTCCGCATTACTGATGCAAAGTAAGCTTGTAACAGAAACTGGAGGAGCACAAAAGTATGCATACTTAAGTGCAAAAATATCCAGTGATGAGCTTTGTCTACCGACTGCCACTTAATAAAGCAACATACCAAGAATACTACACTCTAGGAATAAAGGTAGTAAAATCAGTATTTCTGGAAACCACTGCTCTAACAATCCATATGAGGTAAAATTAAAAGCAAAAAAGAAAAAAAAAGTGGCTTTTTTATCACATGATAACAAATCTGAGCTCCTTTCAAAGACTTCTGCAGTGGAATTGCAGCATTAGGTCTATGTGACAGATGAATATGGTTGTTAATGGACAGCAGATGTCAGCAGTGTGCTGCTGTGTCTGATGTGTGAAAACGTCACAGATCAGAAAGACCTCCGTAGTAAAAGTCAAATTAAAATCTTTGCGATAGTTCACCATGGCAATGATCAGCTCTTCATCTACAATTCAGGTTTCTTCTAGATACCAAAATGCACTGCAGAGAAGCAGAGTTCTGCTTATAATGAGCTCTATAAATGACTGTGTTTGTGTACAGCTGTCATGAAGTTTTTAATCGAACTTATTTTCCTGATGAGTAACACAGACTGGCTCAAGGAGCCAGGCTTCTAATTGAATCCAGAACGTCCGTCACGTGTGGATCCAAACAAACACACCCATGGATCTGTGAGCAACTTATTCCAACTTTCTGACTATCTGCATGCTGTTCACACCCTCAACAGACAACGCCCGAAAAAAGTCTGTCTTGCACACCCGGAGATATAACATTTTACATGGTGGTTTCAGCAACAACTTGCTTCGCTCGTGGAAGTTATGAGACGTTACATATCATATCCAAAACTCTGGAGTCACATGAATGTGCCTCAGCATCATCAGGATTTAACATGAGCCATATGAGTTTCACTTCAACAAAAGCTAACCGCAGCATCATGTGCCACTTTTATTTCTCTAAACCAGCAAAGGAGGATGGCGCACAGTACTGTGTTGACTTTACCCACATAACTCCCGTGTTAATGCCCTTTGCATAATGGAATGCAAAGGGCATGCATATCTCTCCAAAGAAAAAACAACCCTAGAACACAAACCAGAGCCAAGAACACAGCCTGACTAGAGCAAAGAGACTACTAAAGACTAATACTCCCAAAAGGACCACACCTCTCTTTTTCTGGCTTTAACTCACGGTTAGCCGTCTCTGCAGGGAACAGGCGAGGCTGGATCTCACTAAAACAGCCCCACCTAGTTGGAATGGCTGCAGATCTCACTAATCCTGCTGGCAAACACTCAGATAGCTCCAGAGATAACTGTTACCACTCACAACAGTGAGTATAATTGATTACACAATTCAATCACAATTCCCCACCCTGGAAATGTGGGAATTTTTCTTGTCATTTGAATTGTTTGTTAAAAATAAAAACTGCTGCTGATGCATGTGGAAACTTGAAAGAATAGCGGTAAATTATTTTTTGAGTGTTTACCACAGCAAAAAACACAGGAACCTGTGAAATCTGACAGTAGGAGGACAACAAGGGGCAAGCACTGTGTCAGACACTTTATCTCTTCTAACACAAAGCTAATTCAATCACAGCCACATCTCAAAGGTCTCCTCACCCTCTCACTGAAACTGTTCCTAAAAGAGGCTCCCTCTGCACCACATCACAAAATAGACTCTGGGCTTGGTAACATGTAACTTTAAGCCATAAACTGTAATCACAACACCCCAAATAATACTTTGAATGGGAAGTCAAAGACAATTACAGAATGGTAATGCTATTCAAGGTACATAAGTGCAGAGCACCAACAGTGCACCCTAAAACCTCAAATGCTTTGAAGAAAGGTGGGAATCTAGACTCAAGAGTGATTGCATCACAGAGACATTAGAAGTAGGTAAGCTGGCACGCATTCAAACAAACCTTCCATGAAGTTAGGCCATGTCTTCTCCTCTGGCTCCCCCAGTGAGTGGTCCCAGTCTACCTCTGGTGAGGCTCCTCGCCCCTTGCCCCTTGCCACCTGTGCCAAGACTGCCCGCTCTATAGCAATTTCTTGCAGAACATCCAGGTCCAGCTCCTCGCCTTCCTCCTCAGACTCCACAGGTGGAGGTGGTGACTGCTGTCCAGCTGCCTCCGGACTAAGGAGCTGCTTTACTTCAACAATCTCCTCCACTACTACTATTTTCCTCTTCATGGTGGCCTCGTCTATGTCAGATGTTTCAAACTTGCAGGTGTCCCGCTGGTGAGGCTGGTCAGGACGGGTCACGGGCGTGGCGGTGGCAGAGGGTGTGTCCTCTATCAAGTCCCTCTTCTTCTCTCCCTCCTGCGTTAGGGCCTCAGAAACAGAGAGCCTTTCCTCTGTGCTGCACTCTGCTGCCCGAGCGGCCGAATGTTGTGCAACTTTGGGAGGCTCCTCTTGCTCGAAGAGTGGGCTGGCCTGTGCCTGAGCTGCAGCTGGCTCTGCTGTTAGCGCTCTTGCTGCTGACGCTAATTCTC